TTCGCATTGCGATTTTCATTTCCGCATTGCGATTCTCTCGTTGCGATTTTCATTTCGCATTGCGATTTTCATTTCCGCATTGCGATTTTCATGTTGGGATTTTCATTTCGCATTGAGATTCTCTCGTTACGATTGTAATTTCCGTGTTGCGATAGTCAAATGCATGCCTAATAAGTGATAACAACTGAATAACAAGAGTTGGTTAAGTCAAAATGGTTGGCCTGAGTCATTAATTCAACTGAAAATGTTAAAAGTTCACACATAAAATCCACATAATACAACGTTTGCATTTAAAAATCACCTAAGTTAACAGTCCCAAAAGGTGAAGCCAATTGTGATTGGGATTTTAAAGATGATTGCCTTTTGCTTGACACCATATGAGCTTTGGATTTTGATGAGGATCCATATTTTGGTAGAGGAAAAGATGATTTGATGGCACTGGTGATCCACATGTCAACCTTGTATGACCACTTTCCTTGCACCGACTACATGTCGATCTCTTCTTCTCTTCACCCTTAGACGGTATACGATCGTGACTTTTTGGTCGCCAGGTAGCCTTCTGTCCATGGCTGGTGGCAAAACTGTTTGTAAGTCATCTGGTATGTCCCACTCAGAAGGATGTGGAATAGGGTAGACAATCTCGGCATAAGTCTGTCGATAAACTTCTGTAGTGTAGCAATCCATAGCGTATGCGCTTGAATCATCTTGGTTTAAATGAAGAGCAACTTTTATAACATGGCCACACGGATAACCAGATGTTTGCCATTTCATACAACTACACGTCTTTGCATTTAGATCGACTAGCCCATTTAAGTTATTATCCAGTACTTGAAACAAAGTGTTTGAACATGGTTCACTCTCCATGACGTTGACTTCACAACACGTTTCGTTATCTTTTTTTCAGTCCATGGTGTAACACGATGTTCCAATGTTCCTGTAAATTTAAATAAACAATACTTAGTAAAATATATAAATATGATAAGTTACGAATTCAAAGAAATAATACCTGCATGGTTTCTTTTCTTGTAGTACCACTGTTGAATAGAGGCTCGAAAAAACTTCATTAACATAGTAATGGGTAATTTCCGGGAATGACGACTTAGAGCGTTGATTGATTCTGCACTATTAGACGTCATGAAACCATATCTTGCTCCAAGTTGATGTACTCTTGACCATCTTTCAAACCCGACATCTTCTAGTGTTTGAGCACACTGAGGCAAAACACGTCTTAAACAATTTATATGCTTATTGAAATCCACTTCCCGATAAGCTTTTACAGCCTTCCAGTATGTCCATTTGTGCTTTTTTATACCAGCAGACCTTGATTTTAGATTTCTATACAATGAACACCACAAAGTCCATGAAAAGCATCTGGGAAACACCTTCTAACAGCGTTGTCAATTGAGTTTGCCCTATCGGATATGATTGTCAGATTGCTAATAGGACCTATGCAATCCCTAAGATGCCCCATAAACCATGTCCATGAATCAGATGTTTCAGATTTGCCAACCCCGTAAGCTATTGGCAATATCCCATTGTTAGCATCCATGGCTACTGCTAATAAGTTTACTCCAAGGTATCGACCTTTCAAATGTGCTCCGTCAACTATAATAACTGGGCGCATGCAAGTAATAACGAACGAATCTACAAAATAATATACACAAGAAATATAATCATTTAAATGTGAAATGCATGTAACTAACAAAAATGAGTCAACAAAATTATATTGATTTACTAACCGTAGCACCAATGGCGATAAACAGCAACTCAAAGCGTCCATCTCTATCTGTTTTGATATGAGTTACCGACCCAGGATTTTTCAGCTTTAAATTGTGACAATAAGCCGGCAGTTGGGCAAACGATGCTTCTGGCGACCCCCTCAACAATTCCAAGGCATAACATTTGGCTCTCCAAGCTTGAGAATATGATATACTAATCTTGAACCGAGCATTCATGTCAGTCATACTTTCATGTCCCCGATATACCCTGCCATTCAAAAACATTAACTCAGCCAGAAAACCACCCAACACCTTTTTGTTTGCCTGTCTATGGTGAGGAAAAACTTGGGTTCTTGAACATGTATGTTTATCAATAAAAGTCCTAACTGAAACATTTCGCAATCTTTTATTCTCTTTGCAATCATACGCCACGTACAGTTTTTGTCAATCATACACCTTGTTTCGAAACGATCTTTGCTTGATTTGTTAACTTTTAGTTGATAGCCATCTTCCACACATTTCGTATACAAAGCTATCTTCAAGTCTTCCTTTGTATCAAAACAATCATCTTTCTTGATACGAATAACTTTTGTGTAACAATCAACTGCTTTCTTTACCAACTCTTCTTCCGGTATCTGAAGTAATTCTTGCATATTCCAGTTATACGCCTGTGGCATTTTCTTTTCTTCGGGGACTTTTTCTTCTTCTTTTTCTTCTTCAGGATTATATGAATTACAGAATGGATGTTCAACATGTTCATTCACAGTCGTAACTTCCTCCTCATTATCATCAACAATACATTCTTCGGCAACGGCTGTTTCATCATCAAAATTCGGGTATTGACCAATATCAAATCATTACACGCAGGGTCTGTTTCTTCTTCTGAAACATCATCAAAATCCGTGTATTGACCAATATCAAAGTTCGGATATTGACCAAGACCAAATTTCGAATACTGACTAGTACTCACAATTTTTTCTGTTGGCTCATCATCGTCTAACTGGTCAATACGAAAACCGGAATTTGGTGCTGAAAGTTGATTGGGATTGGATTAGAGAAAGGTTGTGGGTTTTGAGAAAAACTTAGTTGATTACTACCCGCTACTGACCCAACAATACTACTTCTAGGTTCAACAACATACAATGTAACATCATCTTGTGAAACACTAATGTAAGCAATGAATCGTTCAACATCTTCATTGTCGGTTAACAAATAAACTTTACCATTTCTCTGATAAGATAGCCTAAATCCACTTAGGGGCTCTAAATTCAATTTATTTGAAACACGTAGCATTAGAGTTTCATAAGTTAACTTTTTTAAAGACAATTTTAGTTGAAGATTCATGGGTAAAGGCATCTATTGTAAAACACCATGAACATTATCCCATGACCCTCCAAAACACAAATCTATCCAAACATGATCAACATTAGATGATTTCATGGTTGTAAATTAATTTACTAAACAGACGAGCTGCGAAACTAAAACCTGTTGCCGGATTGGGAAGGATGTCGTTGGATATAGGAACGGATGTCGCCGGAGAGAGTGATAGATGGAGATGGAATGAGTTGCGATTTAGGGATTTAGTTTATGATTTGCTGCTGTTTCGTAGTTATATACCCAAAATTTCAGTGTTGTGATTTACAGATTCTCGTTGCGATTTACGGATTATCGTTGCGATTTACAGATTCTCGTTGCGATTTACGGATTATCGTTGCGATTTACGGATACGCGTTGCGATATACGGATACGCATTGCGATTTACGGATACGCGTTGCGATTTACGGATACGCGTTGCGATTTATGTGTTCGCGTTGCGATTTTCATATTCGCGTTGCGATTTTCATATTCGCGTTGCGATTCTGGAAAATCGCAATGCGAATTTGTACTATCGCATTGCGATTTTCAAAAATCGCGTTGCGATTTTGGAAACTGATTTGCGATTCTGGGGATCGCGTTGCGATTTTTATTTCGCGTTGCGATTTTGTTGGTCATTTTTGCAAATCCAAAAAAAGTTGGTTAAAATCGTATATTATAAGGCATTTTTGGTCACTGAGGCGATTTTCTCTATTTTAAAATGGTTTAAATGTACCTATGGTCTTTGAACAATTTCAGGATTTAGAATTGAGACCCTATACTTTATTCTTCAAAATTGAGTCCCTGTACTATTTTATATTTGAAAATCTTGGTCTAACCCCTACCTTTTATTTAATTTTATCGTTAATTATTAATTTAAACCTATAAAAAAGATAAAATAAATTTTTATTCTTATATAATTTTTATTCTTATATGTTTATAACTTTTATTAACTCAACCCTTAACAAATTGTAAATGTAGATGATTAAAAAATTATATTGTTCAAATAATTATATTTTTTACTTTTAAAGATTAAGAATTAAATTAATAAAAAAACGTGAATATAAGGGAGTAAAAAAGTTATTTTAACTTTTCATAATTGTTAGGTTAACCATGAACGATAAAATTAAATAAAAGGTAGCGGTTAGACCCAAAATTTCAAATATAAAATAGTATAGGGACTCAATTTTACAAAAATAAAAGATAAAGATTAAATTTTAAATTTAGAAATAGTACTGGGACTCTATCATATTTAATAATTTTTAAAAAATATAATTAATAACACGTCGAATTTCTTACATTTAACTTTTAAAAAGGTAATTATATATATATATATGAAAATTAATTTCAAACACATAAATAAAAAACAATTAATTGTCTTTTTAATTTTTACTTAAGGTTAGGATTGTAAATAACAGATCTTTTGACGAATTGTTTGTTAATCATTTGTCTTTATAAGATAATTCGTAACCTTCTCGAGATTATATTCCAAGTGTTATAAGTCATCTCCGGACTAATTAGTATAATTGTCTTACGTTTAGACCCCTAGATGATGATATATGTGATTTGAATTATGAATTTATATATACGTGTGTATGATTATAGGTACGAAGTTATACTCTTGATGATCCTAAATGTTTGATGATTGTTATATATGTTTTGAAATCCAATTTATATATGAAACGCACTATTTTCAAGGAGTCATTCTCCATACTTCCATAATCAATTTTCAAAGGTCATTCTTTTCACATAGATCAATACATCTCATTAAAACAACAATACAAATTTCTTTGGGCTTGTAATGATATCTTCATTTTTTTTTATCTGGTCATGACTCATGACGGGTATTGGTTAATTCAAGACCATGACTGTAATAACAAGGAACGGATATGTAAAGGATAAAGAAACCTTAAGACTCGTATCATATTAAGCAAAAGCAAAAAATGATTAATATAAACAACGATGGAGGTGAATAAATCTAAACTCAATGCCATTACTTTTTTTTTCCTCCTATCTTACATCTCTTTTAAATAAGACCCTTCTCCTATGTTACAAAATCAAAATTGAGTGAAGTTTCCAATCACCACAGCTCGTGTTTCTCCTACATTCTCAATTAGGAATGAATTGCACAAGCTTTATACCTCTCATCTTCTTGAAAGCACTGTCTCGGACTGTGTGTTTCGAATGAATTAGTAGTTTGGTGCAGCCAGCAAGCATAGACCGACCCTCTAACTCCGGCATTGGAATGGCATGATAGAGATATGTGATCATTTAGGCCGTTGATCAGTCCATTTTAGACAGTTCGGAAGTCGTACAAAATCATTCGCTGTAACACCAGAGTTCGACAACAGAAGAATGTTGAACATAAATCAAACAATCCACATAAATGGCCAAATCTTGCTGAAGTGTAGGAGGGTTAATTAGAAGCTCAGTAAAGAAAAATCAGTATGGAATGACATATGGGAGAGCACAAACATCAGCAGACCCTAATTGTAGAGCTTCTGCCCACACTTGTTGAGCCTCATCAATATGGGAAAAACCCACCTTGGGCTTCTTTGACTGATATTCATTACTATGAAATAGCCATGATTGGTCATCAAAATCTAACCATTCTTCCATTCCAGGCACTGAAAGTACCTGGCTCAAATACTTGGAATCCGGATGAGGTGTTCTTGTGGACACAACATCAACTTGACTAGCTTGTGCACTTGCTAATATATGCTTTGTTGGCGAAACAGTTGATGATAATTGCTTTGTTGGTGATGAAATATATGACAGTTGAGCTTCATTGGTACCGTTCAACTTGTGTTCTTTAGCATCCACCATAAGATCAGTTTCTGCCCTGTGGCTATTGGAAGCAAGCGGGATGGGAGCTTGGCAAGGTTCCAATGTCCTTCCATTGTCCGTCAACAGAGACGAAGTAGTTTTCAGTAACTTATTGGGTTTAACATTGTTAACTGTAAAAAGCAGAAGTTATTAATTATAGAGCTTTAGAACTCTTAATGCCTGCTAATAAAATGGACACACTATTGCAACTAAAGCAATTGCTCGATTTTATGCAAACATTTATGGCAGGGTTTTATACAAGGCATATCAGCAGCATTCATAAATAGAATCATGGTATAAAACTCACCATGAAAAAACCCATTTTTTCTGCAGTCCTTCCGCTTGCGGAAATTTTCCTCAACGACGCCACCTTCATTGCCCTCCTTGGAAGAATCTGATGCTTTCAGATTATTGGTACCCACAGGGACATCTTTATTGCTTCCTTTTAAGTTATCCGACTCCAAATTCCTATGTTCAGCTTTTGCCTTTGCCTTCGCCTTCTCTTCCTTCCTCCTCTTCTTCTCCTCTTTGTCCCTATCCTTATCTTTCCCATGACCTTCTTTCTCCCTGTCCTTATCCTTGCGCTTGTCCCTCGTCTTACCATCACTTCCTTTTTCTTTGGTTTTTTCTTTCCATTCATCCCGCCTCTCGGTATTACTCTCCACTCGTATTGGGACCACTTCAAGTCTAGCATTAACAGCTCCTGCAATGTTCTGAACCATACCATTTCCACCCGGTCTTCTCTCATTCCTGATTCCTGGCACATCCAACTTCATATCATCACTTCTCTCGTTCTTTTCCTTCTCTTCAATAAATGCAGTGGCAGTCTTAGCCACCAATCCAACCATTCCCTCATCTCTTTTCGGTTCAGTACCCATAAACTTTTCCACCGATCGGTTTCCAGCTCCGGCACCTTCATCTCTGACCCTCCTTCCTAACTCCTGCACAAATTTAGCATCCTCAAATTCTTCAGCCAGATGGCTATTCTGGCTAACCTTCTCCCCATTATAACCCGAAAATTGCCCACCAAGTTTCTTCTCACTTGAGAAACTGCTTCGATCTTTATCCCTACCCTTCTCTTTCGGAATATGCTTCTCCCAGCTGTGACCTTTAGATTTTCCGGGAAGTTTCTTCTCGTCCGCAGTGTTCTCCCCATTTTGAACCTCGGGATGAGCAGGAAATTTCTTCTCTGAGTTATTACTTTTATCTTTTTCTTTATCTCGATCTTTTTCCTTCTTTTTGTCTTTGTTTTTTTCTTTTTTGTCTTTCTTATCCTTGTGTTTTCCATCAGATCTGTCCTCCTTTTTTTCTTCATTTTCTCCCTTCTCTTTTTCCTTCTTCTCCTTCTTATGCTTCTTCTCCTTTTGCTTCTCCTGAAAATCAAGAACGCTGTTAGAAAAAAACATGGATTCACAAATCAAATGCAAAAAAAATATTTACATATGAAGAAGATCCATTAACACCAAGTTGCAATCTCCTTTTAAGGAATTTCACTGAACCACAATTAATACCGAGAGCAAGTATACCTACAAGTAAAATACCTTTGTCAATGAATTACACACTAATCATCCACAAGAAATTTTCCAAAGGATCACTTAAAGGTTATCACAGAAGATTATTCTCTGATAATTCTTATTTGCATTATGTCCAGAAAAGACCGAAGGAATTAAAGGGAATCTGATAAACATTTATTGTTCGACCGATGGGAAGAGCAGTAAGTTATCTAGAGGGAGAAAAAAAATCAACAAAAACAATACACTGCAAAAACAACAAAAATGAACACTAGTAAGTGGCTGACATGGTCGAACAGCCATCATTCACCAATATATAAACGGTTAGCAAACTAAAATCACTGTCTAGACAACTGGAATAGAATCTTCTATAACCTTATGAGGAACTTCTCAACCTTTTATTATTAAGTATAAAGCTGAAGGCTCTTAAGAAAATGGAATGTAATTAATACAAAAATACATGAATTTATCATTAACAAAGTTGACATAGAAATAGTACTGTGCTAGAACGAGAAAGGCTTAGAGCGGTAGAACTTTGTTAAAAAGGATCTGCTTAATGCATTCGACATTTTCCATTAGAATATGGAAATATAGCATACCTACTACATTGTCTCAATACCAACTCACAATAACCAAGCTATATCAAAAACAGAAAGCAAACTATGAATTCTTAAAACTTACTTAACTATATGCATTCTAAAACTTAATGTGAAAAATGAAAACCATCATCAGCAAGCTTCACTTTTTCTCATTGCAAATTAACTTGGAATTTCTCTATAACATTCATCAGTGTAGTTAGCGCCAAAGGTGAAACTACTCTAGCCCTCACAATCATTATGCAGTAAAACACTCATGCTAGACTTGTAAGGCACCCACAAATTGTTGAGTACCCCAAAGAACAAAAACTATTACATACCCCAATGAACGTTGCTTAAAAAATTACTTCTCCAAAGACGTCCATTCTCAATCAAGTAATTTGGGCACTTTCTTACTTTAATTTTCTTCAGAGAAATTGGTACGTTTTTACAGAAGAGGGTGGGGGAATCCTTGTATCTTGCATCAATTTAGCTCAGTTTCCTTTAAAATCTAATACTCAAGAAAACAAACTGGTACTTCATAGAGCACACTTGAACTAGAATTTTGTAAAGAGAATCTGATATCATAAATTGCTGCCACATTCTCAGTAGTCAAGAGTGCATTATTTTCCTAACACTACTGCTTGTAGACCATGGAGGAGCTTTGCACCACAGGTAGAGCACGATGACAACAAAATATATAAAAATGTTTATCTGCATGTTCGAGAGAGAGAGAGAAAGTGCACTTCATACGGTCATTCTATACCAATTCTAAACCACAAGCAACGCAACCTATTTCTTTCTGGCCCATTTTAAGAACTGCATTCAATTTTACATCCTTAAAGAACTTCTTAGTTCACCCTTAATCTGGCCGGAAAAGCTACAAAGAACTAACTGCCATTTATTTAGTTCAAATTTCTTAGCACCTAGTTAATTTGTCATACTCAAGTTTCTTGTCCACGAATATATGTTTTAGTCAAACAAAAGTCTACATGGCTTATTCCACTATACTAGCATATATTAACAATGTCAAAACTTGGGAATAAATTAATTCTGTTTGATATTGTAAAACAGGCATCAAAGTATGTAATCTATCCTCAACTAATTAATAATTTAAAAACCAACCAATAAGACAAGCCTGTCAATAAACAAAACTTCATCACTCATCACAGATGGAAACAAGAATAAAACCTATGTTATAAGATGGGAAAATGTAACAAATTAGGGAAGAATGGCTGAAAGCTTAAAACATTATCTATCTACAGAATTTTGAGTAAGAAACAAGAATCCTCACATATGATTCCAACATAATTCAATAGAAACGGTGCTTTAGTAAAAAGGAAAAGGGGAGAGATATTAGTGAAAGGTGGCTGGATTTGACCCAACTTAATCTTTCATTCATGGTTTGCGGATACAATTTTGTGCACGGTATACTCAAAAGGTATAAATATCATATAAAAGATTATGGAAACTACTTAATGATGCAATATTTTTTATGTGATTGAAAACTCCAAACTTCTAATTCAGATTGCAACACCATAACAATAATAATAATAAAAAGATATGGAAATGTTCATTCTCACAAATAGCGCAGAATGGGTAGTAAATTACAAACCACAATACTGATCTATCACTTCAAAAAACTTCAAGTTCAACTATTTATCCTAGATAATTAGGATCTCTTTTCTTTGCAGAACACAGCCTATCAACCTAACCACGGAATTACAAACATGCTTTCAACATTGCATTTTCTTAATCTGCAGTAAAAGCAATCACGAAATATTATGTATACATAATGTATATTTTGAGTGAAGCAAAATGTTACATAACATAAGCAAATGGTGTCAACCTTTTTTAGAAAGTCCACATCATCGGCACTAGCCTTCTTTTCATATCCTGGTGGTGGGAAAGGAAAGCAACGCGACATTTCACAGTAGTTCAGAAACCGAAACACAAACGCCTTTGGAAAGCCAAAACACTAGGATTATCTTCCAGTAGCAATGTTCCAGAAAGGGAACAACCAGAAACTGTGATGCATATCCCTGCACACATTTCCAGCTTCAATATTCCTCCATGATTCCTATCACTCTTAATAGCTCAAATGGTTCCAAAGACCCACCAAGCCCCTTAATCACTCTACCCTCAAAGGTTAACCCAAGTCAACTATCAGTCACTAAAGATCGCCTCAAATGAAAAAGAAATCGACACTGCAAGTCTGCAATCAGTTACTAAAGCTACTATAGTCTTACACTAAGCTACTTCAACAATGCCCCAAATAGAAAGATGAGTTAAAGAAATGTTCTTTTGATCAAGAACTCTAGCTCAAAAATGATCCAGCACAATCTAACTTCAATGATGTCTGCCCAGACAAAAAAAAAAATCAGCGCCTCCTCCTTCCAAATATAAACCAATACCAAAACCATCCCCCAATTAAGATCAAACACATAAAAGTACTGAAAACCCAAACACCCTTCTCTCTAAACCAAGTACAAATCCTCAACCTTTTCTGATTTCTATCTAGACCATTCCATAAGAAAGCAATCTTCTTCCATGCCCAAAAGCTTTGAAATCGCCATTTTTTAAGCAATCTGTTCAAAAACAATGTTTTGAGGAAAATAACCCTTCAATCCGACAACCAAAATATGAGAGCTTGAGCCCATTTCTACTCTGATCGGAACCCTAATCAGTTTCCACTTTGGGAAATTTCCACAATTTGTTGATCCGGAAGAAAACCCTAAAAACAGAAAACCCGTCAGACAAAAAACTTCCACTGAGCAGATATTAAGTACCATTTAACCTAAAACAAACAAAAATCAAGAAAAACCCAGATTTTATCCAACAACGATTAAGCCAAAAACCTCGAAATCAAAATTATTAAAAGGGAAACACCTCCCTTAGAACCTTAGGGTAAATGGGTATTGATCAAAAGTGAAAAAAAAAAAAAGATTTGATTCAAAACGTAATTTTTTCAAAAAAAAAAAGGAAAAACCAGCTTTTGGAAACGTAAATGAAAATTGAAGGTGATGAGAAGATTAAATTATATTACCTTGCCCGCAACAAAGTGGGCATTGTAGAAAGGAAAAATAACACTTATTTGTTCGTTTTCTCAGATTAATAAAGATTAGATTATAAAAAAGGAAAGAGATGGAAGAAGTAAGGGAAGTTTAATCTCATTTTCAATGTTGCGTCTTCAGTTATATGATTTTGCTTTAGGTATTTGGGTATTTGAGAGAGAGAGAATGGAAGAAAACTTGTTTGGAAGGAGGCCTTCGATTTTGTTCGGAAGTTACACGCGAGAGGGAGGAAAACAAGAAATGAAAGAGAAACTAAAAATCCAAACAAGGGAAAAATGAAAATATAGAGAGAGGGAGGGGCCGAAAAAAGGCCCAAATAGATTGTGAGATGCTTACTTCTTTCCACATTTAAATTAAAAAGATTAGATTGGATAAGAATAGAACTGCAGTCAATCATACTCCCTTACAAACAAGTCCACTTCCACCCAATTTTGTGTGCGGCTATATCTGCATCTTTATATCAAACATACCTATAATCTTAAAATTAGTCTTAACCTTTATTATAATGATTATTTTTATTTTTTTAGTATTTTAATTCAATGTCTTATTTTAAGATAAAAAAATTATGATATTTGATTTAATAGTAATTTTAACTCTTATTCTTTTTTTTTTAGCATTGTTTCGTTTTACGATAAAAAGTCTCTTATTTTGGAGTGTTATCTATATGTTAACTAATGGTTTCTATCTATAGATGATTTTTTTGCCTTAAAATGAAACGTCAATGATCAAAAAGCTACAAAAAGAATAGAAAACAAAGTGATTACTTAATCAAACGTTAGTCTTTTTTTACATATGTCTAAAAGATTGTATTTTTCAAAATTGTCTTAATTAATTGACACATCTTATAGATATAGTTGTTCAAACTCAAATCTCTTTAAAATATATCATTCTTTTTTATCACTCAATACATTCTTGGACGATAATATGTTTAATATCTCTAATGTAAATATATGAAAAATAACGATAACTTAATTTGTTGTTGTTTAAATATCTAATCAAATTTGATTTTAAATATAATAATAAGTTATATAAATATAATATCTCATGCAATACAAAAAATCATAAAAATAACATAGATAAAAGATATGTGTGAGTGTTCTCCCACTCTTCTTTTTTATGGTAAATAGTTGTTGATATCTAGAAATTTAATGAATTAGGATATGATAAAGTCAAAAACAGGGCATTAATTAATGAAGCAGTAAGAGGAATTAAGGTATAAGTGGGATAAGCAAGTATAAACACTCCACATGTACACTACATCACCGTCTCTGCAAAGCGTTTTGCATTTGTCATGTTTTCCTCCATCACAAACCGCGTTGACTTCTAAGTCTACACTCTACAGACTTCAACGCCCATTCTCTTGTAAAAACGCCTTTTACTCAACCTCCAAAACCATCATTTAAACCTCTTCATTTACTTAAAACCTCTAAAATTTGAGAGAGTCTAAAATACGTACGTTTTGTTAATCTAAAGTTAAAAACCGAAAGAAATCGATTGCAATGAAAATATTATTAAAAGCGTAATTTTTAAGTGAGACATAATAATATTTTAAGTTAAACAGAAAATAAGAACATATTTCTTAAATTTTGTGTGGAATTAAAAATATAAATTAAATTAAATATAATGACTCCTTAATTCAGACAATATGTTAGATGCTTGTTACCTTAATTTACAAGACAATAATATCATGTATTAATGTACGAGAATATTATGCATTAATGGTTCTTTGATTTTTGAATATTAGTTGTTTCATTATTTTAATTTCCGAATAAATTTTCATTGTGAATCTCAGTGTAAACCTTCAATGCAAACTCACACAAAAATATTTTTCTACTTTCAAACTGTTTTGGTGATAGAAAAATGTGAGGTTAATTATAATTTGTTGATCTATTATTGTTGTATTATGAGATATAGTTGACTAATATTCTCTAATATTGTAGAAGTAAATAAATATATCTTAATGAAAGTGTGTAACCATACCTCAATGTCTTTGCCCGTCTAATTTTATAACTACTATCGAGTAAAAGATTTTTTATCATTCTTATTTTTTTATGTTTGAATCCGTTTAGATTTATTTGTATTGTTATTATTATTTATTTTTCAAATCATATTTTGTCTAACGGTCATAAGATAAATCCTTATTTTTATCCACTATGAACAAAGCGAAATTGTAATATGTTTTTAAACAGTAATCATTTTGATTAAATTTATTTTGATATTTTAATTCATGATGTTTAATATATTTAATCAATTTTGCTAAATAACTTGTTTTTAAGGTTTTTAATCATTGCGCCTAAAAGAATTTATTTAATTTATTGTTTATAACCGAAATTATTTGGAAGCAATAAATTAATTACTGATTTTATTTCATAATTTTAATTCATAACTAAATTACGTTGTTTAACATAATCAGATAGTATAATAAAATTAGAATTAATTTTTTTTAGTTATTATTGGAATTATTACTAGTTATAGTTTTGTGTTTTAAACAAAACAATGACTATCATCACCGATTCACCCAACTCACGATTTGGAGCTTTGATTCCTACACAGACTTCGATCAAAATTCAATGGTGCCGATGGGAGTGAGTCACAATGAAGAGCTTGTGAAATTTTATAGACATAATTTCAAGACATGAAAACAACCATGTTGAACTTGGCTAAGTTTATGAAGAATAACCCGCCTACTATAAAAGAGGGTGAGGTAGACATCACCACATTCATTGTTGTTGAAATTATGGAGCATTCTGACTTCCTACACCAGAACTACATCATATATGCATCGTCGGATACATTGTATGAAGTTTATATCACCTATAAAACGTTAAAGAATTATGGATGACATTGAATCATAAATATAAAAACTGAAGATATTTGAGCTAAAAAGTTTTTAGTTGTCAAATTCTTGAAATTTATTATGGTTGATTCTAAACTAGTTGTGTATCAAGTGTAACAACTTCAAGTGATCATTCACATAATTCTTACAAAAGGATTGTTATAAATGAATCATTCTAAGCGACAATCATTATTGAAAAGTAACCTTTTATTTAGATTGACTTCAAGTATTACCAAAAGTATAAAAGAAATAAAATGATGGTGAAAGACTTAATTGTTAAACTTGGAGTAGAATAAGACAATAGAAATAATGTCGAAAACCTCTCCCAGGTAGGCAATAACACTAAGGAAAACGTGGTAGAAATCAAGAATGATTTTAAGAAGGAAAAACAAGCTCGTAAAGGTGGTGTTTTCAAGAAGCCAAAATTTCAAGGGAAATGTTAAAGATGAGATTTGATTCTGTATGGGGGGCAACTTATTATGAATTGTGTCTCATTAGTCCCATGTTGTTTAATAAATAATGGGAAGGTAATAGATTTTCTAGGTTAGAGAGAAGATTATGTCAAGAAGATCCCCTTTCCCTGTATCTTTTATTATTCTGCACGTAAGGCTTATCAGCTTTGTTGTTGATAGAGCAAAGGGCTGGTCGTATCAAGGGAGTAAGATTAAGTGGAAATGGTCCTCGTGTAAACCACTTATCGTGTACTGATGAATCTTTGATGTTTGTCAAGTACCCAATGTAAGAAGCTCAAAGAAGTAGGAAATATCATGTGCGACAGTATTAATATATGGCTAAAAAAAGGTGTTATCGGTTTTGTTATTATTTAAATAACAAAATCAGTAAAAATTATCGAAAATATTATTATTTCTACCGATTTTGCTATTATTGGGCGTTTTACCGGTTTTATTATTGTTGGACATTTTACCGAAAATGTTAAAAAAATATTGATGTTTTAAGTAATTTTGTACTAATTTTATTATTTAAATAATAATAAAATTGATAACACATTTTTTAACTGTATATTAAGGGTGCCGTAATATATAACTTCCCCAAATAAGTTTTAAACATATATGAGGTTTGTGTTGGACAGAAGGTGAATTATGAAGAACTCAAACGTTAATTTTAGTTGCAATACAAGTGATCCGGATAAAATAGCCATTTCGGGGGTCTTGAGGATTAGAGAGGAATAAGGGGATGATCCTTGGGAGTAAGTATATATATTCATTTCTTTTGTAAATTACGGGGTCTGGAATTATTTAGAGCATTATTGTGCATGGTCCTGTCCACACAATTGTATTTACAGTATCAAAACCACAACTTGGGAATGGCTATGATTTGATGTGTGTGCAGAGAATTTGTGGTGGTGTGTTAGATGCATTAGAATTCTATCCGGCGTGCTTGGTTAAGAAAATGTGGATTATCGGAAGAATAGAATCTATATTTTTTCGTTTGGTTGGTTGATAATCTCATTTTCGATAATATTTTATTACTAACAGTGAATTTTTTGGAGTATATTACCGGAAATGTCACTCTCTTCTTTTGCAATTTTTTTTGCAGTGATTCTCCTTTTTTATCTAGGTGTGTTTTGGACTTGAATTTTCACAAGATAAATAGAACCCTGAGTGGGTGAGAGAGTTACTGTTATTTGTTCCTCCCAGAGAATCTTCGTTTCCCATATCCGGTCAGGATCATCGGGGAGGTATCGGAGCTTCGTCCTCATCGTCGCTAGTAGACACCTGAGCGAACCTTCGATTTCCCATTTCAGACCAAAGCTTTCTTCTTTTTGCGTCTTCAATTCCATACGCTGAGGAATTCTTTGAAACCATCTCCATCACACCATTTTCCAGATCTGAAAATTCAAGATTTATTGCTTTATTTACTTTAAAAATTCAACTGCATCTTCTTTTAAATTGCTTTCTGTTCCTTCTTATTAATCATTGTTGTTATAATCTTCTTAAGTTTCCAAATTTTAAATGCCATTATCAACTACATAGGTGTATTCTTCTGTTGACAAAAGACGAAGAAGAGAAAAACGCGCTCGCATTGCTTCAGTTCAAATTCCATTCAAATTGTTGAAGCTTTTCTCCGATCTCTTTCAGTTTTGTTTCTGGTAACTTTAATTTTCTTTGTTTGTCATAGATCTAGTTGGATTTCGCTCTTTTCTTTCGTTCGTTACTTCCAAGGCACTGTTTTGACTAGATTCGGCTGCTTCCGACTGTAAATTTGGAAATATCTAGTTACATGCTTTGTAGTGTAGTTTCTACATACTACTGTTTTTTATTAATCTTTTAGATCTTATTTTGGCGTCTTTT